AAGAGTGATCCTTTGTTACTAATGTCAGCCTGTTACTTGTATTTTAACTGGTCTGGTGACTTGTTTTAATTGGGTGTAGTCTAGGGATGGAATTGACTACAGCACTGATGTCAACATTGGTACCCCTGTTTTCACGTTTTGCTGGAAAGGTAAACCTCAAAGAGAAGGGCGGGCCCCCATTTTTTTCAATATTAACACAGTGCAAGTTTTCATCGTGCCAAACCCTCGTAAAGTTTTCCAGTGACTTTACTTTAGACCAATTTTTTAAAAATGAAAAAAAAAAAAAGAATTTTCTCGCAAAAAGTCATTTTCCTAGACAGGTCGGCCAACAACCACAACCACAACTACAACTACTCCCTAGAGGTCCCAGTTCCCTGACACCCTTCATTTGAAGGCTTCTAAGAGAAGCTTCGAAATCACATGAGTCTTATGTTACTTTTTCGAGTGCCAAAATTTAAAAGTATGGATATTGGGAGTTAGTGGAAATGTGTTCTGGTATTGTATCTGAAGTCAACCCCAAGTCACGATCCCCGGAAAAACAAAACAATATCAAATCCACTTTTCAAGCATTTGAATTTGTTACTACTGTCACCAGTCGGATAAAGTACAAGACCAAAAATAACCGATATTTTTATATTTTATCAATAATACTGCAAAATTCCTTGTACTATTTATTAAAATATAAGATCCTGTCACTCATGGCATTTTCTAAATATAACTTTACAATTCTGTTTACTTTCTATCTTGTTTCTTTTTTAAAGGGTGTCCTAGCGATAGACATAAGTCGAAAAAATAACACAAAATAATGCAAATCGGAGTCACTGTTGTAACAAAATAAAAAATGAATTGTGGTTCAAGAGAATGAACACATTACGTTTTTATCACTGAAACTTAACAAAGGAGGGGGATGGATAATCAAGAAAATAAAACTTTCCATGGATGTAACTTTAAGTTAAAAAATGACTAAAGAGAGATGAAGTCATGCAAAGTGAGGATGTAGGACGGTGACAGAAGGGGTAAAACCATTATAATGTTAAGAAGTAAGATAAATGGGGACTGAGGCGAAAGTACATTAAGGAAAGGTGCAAGATGGACAATGCAGAATGGTGATGGGATATGATGATAGGATGATGACAGAAAATTGGAATGAAGGATGAGAAGGGTTTCTGGGATGATGATGAAGGAAGAGATGGGAAATGAAGACGACGGAAGATGACGGAGAATTGATGATGGAACATGAACGAAAATGACAATAAGGGCAGGTGAATTACAATGAAAATGATGTGGCAAAGGAATGTGAAAACACCTAACGGAAAGATACTAATTGGTTTACGCAAGGTGAAAGAGAGGTTCTGAAAAAATGCCGATGGCAGTCGCTGGTAACCATATTTGACAGAACTATATTTCTCTAAATCTGAAAGAGTGAAACTTGGGACAAGACGATTTAGAGTGAAAATCACTCTCAAATTAGATTGAAATACTCTGGAAAAAATAATCACTTTATTCGGGACTCGAGTGAAAACTCAATCTTTTCGATTGAAGAAATGTCACTCTAAAACGTCTGGTCCCTACTTTCCGACGGCGAGAGTGAATCTTCACTCGAAAAGGTTGAGTTTTCACTCTGGAATTGACATGTTCATGTTGGCTTGATTTCTAAGCTGAAAATTTAGTCTCAAAACTGATACGAAGCTTACAATAAAGCTTATAATGGAGGTACATACATCTGCCTAAGTTGGACTTAATGTATCGATGACTTTCGTCCAATGTGAACGTTTTAAATTCTATCGTGTCTACAATCTGACAAGCTACAGTTGCCTAAACAATTTCGTAGTCGGGTAGAATCTCTTCAGCCGGACTTCCACAACAATATGGCGATCTGTCCGAGATAGAAGTAGATAAACTGTTTGGTCTCGTGGGTGACGTAACTGCCATAGTGCTTGCCCACGATGCAGTGCCAGGTCGGGTTGTAAGCTTTGTCGAACTCCTTCTTGACGTAGGCCGCAATGTCCTTCTCCACGTCGAATTTCTCCAGTGCCTGCTTCCCTACATCGATAGCATGCTGCTGTTGGTCCTCTTCCATGTCAGCATTCTTGACCACCGGCTTCTTGCGAGGATCGTCGGCTATAAGGCTAGGTCTAGTACCTCGATTCATCTTTGTGATGCGATCTAATGAAAGAGGATATCAAGTATTAACCATAGTGTAATAACTGTTACACATAAGAATGACCCAGACAGGTATGGCGATGTAGGTTTAAGTGAAGTGTAAAAAGTGAACAAATCATAGGCCAAATTGAATGGGAACTTGAGTTTTAACTTGTTGCAAGAGTTTAGTATAAACGCTCTTTACGACTATCATTTTAAATACTATAGTCGATGACAGAAACTGTATAGAATAGGCATGTGTGTAACGTGAAAAGCAGTGTATGCTTACCGGTATCGTCAAATAAGCTGCAGAGTATGACACTGCCGTTTAAGTCTTTTCAGAAACCACAGGTTCGATTTCTTCAATTTTGGAGATAATGTAACCTTCTGAGCTAGTGTCTTTCTGCTTTGATCGTATAAAGGAAAGTAGGAAAGTTGCTTCCTTTTGAAGTATCAGAGGCAAAGGCTCCCCAGATTATGTCAATATGTTGTCGGCATATTTGCAAAACGAAAAGTTCATTCGGTGATGGTATTGGTCGAAACACCGATCTCAAGGTGAAGTTCTCGCCATAGGTACAGCACCAGATTTACGGAAACGACCGCACAGTCCCCGGTTTTCGGTAGCTTGCTCGTACTTATGGAGGTCACTCTATTTGAAAACACACCTGACAAAGAAAAAGAACATGTTCTTTTAAAATGAAAATAAACAATCAACTGAAGTGTTGTCCTTGGTGCAGATCAAGTGTTGTGAAATTCGCTCGCTCGTAAAAGTCTTCACCATGACAATGACCGTGTGGTTACTTGTCATTTTGACAACCTTGCACGATTAAGCAGTATCAAGTTTGAAATGAAAAAGTAGGCCTATTGACATTGGGTATATACGAACCTCTCAACTTTAAATTTCGCTCCCTGGCGTTCGTATACTGGGAAAATAGTACTTGGGTATCGGTTGGTCTATACTACATTGTGCGTTTCATCGCACTAGAATGCATATAGTCTTCGAAAATTAAGGTCCTTCGATAGCGAAACAGTGATCAAAATACTGCAGGAGAGACACTGACAGAATTTTGGAACGAGGCTTTGTCATCCAAGGCCAAGACCGTCATGGTCCGAGCCAAGGTTACTCGTACAAATGATTTGAGTTTTCACGTACATTTCAAACTTTTTTGTTCAAATTTATTTAAACGGTTAATTTCCAATTCCTCTCCAAAATCCGTAGCCTTTCATAATACCAGAATTTTGCACTACGTTTTTCATACGTTTACCGAACACTTCGAAAGACAATTACATTCGTCGTCTGCGATTTTGTGATTCATTTTATGATCAATATAATACAGATTCATTCAAATTTGTCACATGATTGTGTACTATCTTTAGTATTTGGCCTATGACTTTTCCATCTTTTCACTTCTACTTTAGTCATATTTAGTTTAATTTCATGTGTCTGTTTAGTATTTTCCTTATTTGATAAGTCTTTTACCTCTGAATAGGGGAAAATTGTGCCCTTTTCATACTAATTTTATGTCCATTTAGTGCTTCGACAATCTTATGCATCAGCAACTGGAAGATATAAAGTATATACAGAGACAAATGAAGCGGCATTTATCAAACTTTCAATTTCGCGCAAGAAATAAGTAGGCGTATATTCAATTCTTACTTTGTGTATACCAATATATCAGATGACGTGAAATCCATTATAATCCGACGACATCGAACAGACAAATGTGGAAAAGGATTGACTAAAATGACATTTGCGCGATTAAGTCTTTAAGTCACACCTCTGAAAGACATTTGTATTTGTTTTGCCATTATAGGCTAGTTCAAATTTCATTACAGGTTTGACGGGGCAGTAATGAATAATGCCCACATACCTTCTTTACTGGCTGCCATACCCTGCAGACTGAGTTCACGATGGCTCCACATCTAAATTTCCTCCTGTCCTCAACATTTAATTTTACCTCTGAACGGTATTTCAGTGTAAATGGTTCACAATATGCACGTTTTTTTTTTGCTTAATCAGGGCGTCCTTTTTGAAATGGCTCCCACTCTTGTAAAGGGGCAAGTTTGTGGCTCCACATCTCGAAATTATTTTCTCTCGTGAACATAAACGAATACACAAAGTTTCATGCTTTGTGTGAAAAAAAAGTGCACAGATCGTCATGTATTAAAATAATAGCCCATGACCGCTCAACTAGGACGAATTAAAAAGATCCCCTTATATTTCTCAAATTGTACATTGATACAAATTTTAAAAAGCTGCTCATCAAACTGAAGTTGGTGTCACGCTTTTCCATTGCGAGTGTGTCGTCAGTGAGGCATGGCAGCCCATTTATTACGGAACAATAGACAGCTTTTGTTCAGTAGATGCCCCAATCGATTGAAGTTTAATACTAAAATTAAAATTAAAAACTGGAGTAACTCGTCCGTTATCGGTCAGTGTCATTGCATGTTTTCCATGGTTCAAGCAAATAATTACATGCTAACCATTTGCAACATAAAAGTGTCAACTGGCAGCATTCATTATTTTTGTGCATTTTTAAAGAGTTCGATGATACTTTTTAAAATTAATCACCTGTTTTGCTTTGGGCCACCCAGAGATGTACATCAGTAAACACAGGCATTCAAACTGAGTTTGTACCACCTGCTATCCTGATCACTGTAGACTCAAGTGAAATAACAATGCATTTTTCATCTTTTCACTTTTTTGTCAAATAAAGAGATGTTGACAGCGCCATTCACTGAAATAGTTCGAGGTGTAACCTCTTTCTTCTAAAGAGTGGAACAAACTCAATCTGTGGCTGAGTTCGGGCGGCTTGTTCCCGTATGTTCACGAACTGCTCGATTCGTTGTTTTTGGCCCGAGGTCGGCCGCTCGAACGCCGGGAACAAACAAGCGGTTATCACAAGCAACATGCAACATGGCGGCGTCCGTGTACGTTATTCGAGAGTTAAGGTTTGGATGGGCTGAATTCTTTTCTGTATAAACAGGAACATTCATTTCTGTTTTACAGAAAATAATTAATGTTAATTTTGCAAAACCTCCTATTGTCTATGGCTTTGAAGCCATCTCTCTACTTTTTGCAGCTGTTCAAAAGTCAAAATCTCACAAGTTTTCCCGTGTGTTCCTGTAAAACCCTGACGAGGAGGTGGTGTGTGATCCTGTTCTGAGAACAGTGTTCTTGAGTCGTGTTCCCGCTGTTCGAGCGCGAGAACAGGCCGCCCGAACTCGTATTTCTATGGACTGCCAAAAGAGAAAAGGAGGAAAGAGAGAAAAAACAGGAAGTAAAACACCACCAAGTTAAGCTTGTTCTCTCTAAAACCATGGTATAAATATTTCCTGTTTGTATTTCATTGTAAAAAATAATTTGTTTCGCTTGGATACATTTTGGGGCGCACTGTATTTACGCTGTCCAGTACTGAGTCAGTGAACAGCAGGGAGCCCTGGACGGGCATTGGCCGAGTTAAGATCCTGTTGTGTGTTATTGGAGGATGTCCGAAAATCATTACAATACCACTCAGAAAACGACACCTTGAGACAATTTCTTAGGCCTACGGAGAAAAAACATCTTAGAACGCAGCAGATAGCACGTGGACGGGCGAGATCACGAGATGGCGGTATATACAAGTTTCAAGAAGAATGTCAAGATGCATGCAGGGAAGTTTGTGACGTGCTGGACACATGAAAGCGGGTGTATGGGATGTCGGCATTTGAAGTTGGGATGTCAGCCTGCGTCCGTTTTTACTTCAACGGACCTTGCATTCGACTGACCCTATTTCTTGGCTATCGATTGCAGGAAAAATTATGAACCTGACAACCCGTTCTGCATGTCGGCAACTTCTGACCAAGAAAGAAATTAAAAGAAAAAGATACTTTTTCCAAATTTGTGAATAAAGGGGAGACTTTTTCGAAAGCACATAATAGTTGGCACTCGCCTTGTTCCCCGACAACTAAAACCAGCACCTATATACACAGTGTAGTATTGATAGAAACCTCCTGAGATACACACCTGTTGTCACTGGCAACTTGTTCGTGTCGTTACAGGGCTTTATTTTTAATGACTGCACTTGAAACTACAAACGGCAAAGTAATGAAATGGCATACATTTTAAGTACGAAAATTAAATGTCTGAAGAAAATCCACCCACCTTCCAAAATGGCGAAATGATTATGTTACACGTTATGCACAAATCTATGACGGGCTCCACGGTCGTAACTTTTATGCAGATTAAGTTTCGTCGAAAATTAATTGCTAGCCCAGATGGGATCAAAGATTTTTCCAAATAAAGAACCAGGGTTCACGTCCTTATTCATGATGCTCGAGAATGAACAGCTGGTAAAACAGTGGGCAACGCCGTACTTGATTTGTTGGTGCACCTCTGAATGACAAACCGTCGTTTTGGCTATGCAGGTTGCAAATTTAACAAAAGTTGCGAACAATGAGTTTATTCTTTGCTACTTACAAAACACGGGAATTAGAGTCAATTCAGACAGTCACATGAATACTTGTCATTATTTTATGTACCTCTATTTGCATTCAAAATAATTTTCACCCATATTATCAACTTCTTTTCAACTGACCGACCCTCTTCAGAGGCCAAAAAAGGGAGAACCATAGAATTAAAAAAGAAAAGAAAACGAGGAAATGATTTGCAGCACATCCAGGCCTCGACGGCTGGGTTGAATCACACACCGTTCATTTTTTGAGTACGTTTCAGGTACTTTAAACAACAGGTAAGGCTATGGGAATGATGAATTTTCATTATTTCTTGACCTCCGCCATCTGTGTGCCCAACTAATACGATAATCGAACCCTCGCGTCCGTGTACGACATACGTACAGTACATGTATGTACCTGTACGTGTGTCGCATTAAAAAAAAGTATACACGATAACCAACAGAGGGCGCAATTGTAAATAAAAGAATTATTCAAGATGGCTGAGAAAGGCAGCCAGGCAGGACCTGGTGAAACTTCGGAGAAAATGTCCGACTCTCCCTCAACTCTGTCACAGGTAAAGTCATTGTAGAAGATTAACTTAAGTGTATGTTGAGATTTAAGTTTGTTTTCCATTTCTTCCTGAGTGACATCCACATCGCTAAACATGTTTGAAAGTTCCAAATGTTCCTTCATCGGTGACCAAGACGGGAATTATAATTACGTGCAACAGTGACCGACAGATTGTGAACGAACAGCTGAATCATCAGTCACTCAGCAGCTCATTAGGCTGGGCCTGGAGAATTTTGATTTTTTTTTCGCTGTGATCATTTTTAGGAGAGAGTGTAATATTTTGTTTTACCATTCTTTTTTGTCATTTTGTTTCTCATTAGGCTAAACACGATATTTTCCACCTGTCCCCACCATGCCCACTTTCGAATTCTCTCTTTCTCATAGATGTGCTTATTAAAATACAATGCATAGGCTATGCTCATAATAACCCATATATCCTAAAGGCTTTAGCAGCTCATGGGCACATTATATCATCATGCTCATCTCTCATCCAACGTCCTTGATGGTATAGTCCCAAGATCCCTTATTTCACCACCTACATGTACATGTACATTGTATTTTCAAGTCTGATTGTTTTTCACGGTGTTCATTACCTTTTGCACCCTGTTCCCATATGTATGTCATGATAAAGGAACAAATGCTACTTTTTCGAAGCAACTTATCTAAATTTTTTGTTGGTGGTGTCCTCTTTCATATCAGAAAGAGAAGAGAACACGGCTTTTGGTTTTTGAGGGAAATTGGGGGGGTAACACTGCATTGTACATGACCGCCCTGAAACACTGTGAAAAAAAATTAGCGAATGTAGTCTGGTTCCTTGACCTGGATGGAGATTAGTTTTGATGAATCCTAAATGCCTGAGTTGGGTAACCAGATGAGAAACAAAATGGCGTGATTCGACAGAGCAGTTGTCTTTTGCCAAACTTAGGCTAGAATTTTGTGCTTTTCTTGCTTAAATATTGTCAAGATTTACCTAAACTACATGTAGGTCTATCAGGAGTGATTAGTGGTTCCTTAATTTAAGGTCAAATTGTTAGTTAGTTTGAGAAAGTGGACTTTGTTTCAAAGGAACAGGGTGCTAAAGGTAATGAACACCGTTTCCACTGAATTACAATGTACGTGTATGTTAAGTGGCAAAATAAGGGACCTTTTGACCTGGCCACTATACCGTCATGGACGTTACTCCTTGTTAAAGCTTAGTTTTAGACCTGGTGCATGTTAATTTATAAATTTAAGTGATCTTAGGTTTACTTTATGATCTACATATTCAGTTTATTTTACAAACTTTTTTCAGAAGAGCATGAGATTTGCAACAACATGAGGCCCTTGTTTCATTCTATCAACAGTAATAACAACATGAATCATTCCACAGCTATGACTTACTGTACATGTACGTGTATTTCCCATCACCAAATCAGTGTTTATTCTGATGGCCTTTGACGATTGGTTGTAATCATTAACCCTAACCCTACATAATACTACAAATTAATACTTGTAGTAAAATGTAGTACTGAACGCTGTCGCTTGTAAGAGGACATGACTTTATTGTTCTGTGAAGCCATGAGATACAATAGATAAGACGATGTACCATACAGTGCTGTGGCACTATGAATGCATGGCTTTATTGTTCTCTGTACAAGTAACAATGGAAGTCAGCTAGTCAGAAGTAGTAATCTGTAGCGCTAGGTCCTTCAGGCTCAGACTACTACTTAGTATTTTGTAGTACTGTGTAGTGTAAGCCAAACAATATGCTCGGCGGTTAGGGTTAATGTTGGACACTGGAGTGCTTCTCAAATATGCAAATGTGCAATTTGACCCCCCTCACATGGATTCCCATTTTTTTGGTAACATCTTTGACTTACGTTCTCATGATGCTCAAGATTTTGGCACAACAAAATAATTGGAAAGAGTTCCATACACAGGCAACACTAGATGCCCCTGTGCACAAACCTATGAGACTTGTCTGAAAAAACCTGTTTACTAAGGAAATGCTTTGGAATTTTCTTCATACGCTAAATTTCACGTTTTAGGACATGTTATCACTTTCAGACGACTGTCGCAACATTTAAGGGAAAATTAGTGTTATCCTAATACTTTTGAACATTTAAACAAAGGCTGAAGATAAAGATCATTCTTGTAGGAGTGTCCTCTCAGTATGATAAACCCTTCCAACGTTGCATGGCATGGTGTGTTTGGATGACAAACAAGCAAGGCATTTTATGCACAATCCTATAGGAGAAGTGCACCTGCAAAACAGTCTTTTTTCACTTTAAATCATACTCCAATTCAAGATCATGCTCTTTTCATAAAGTGTCACACTGTAGATATGGGATAAAGATGTTTAAAACCTTTGTTTTGTAAAGCTCGCCAGAAAAAGAGATGTTGGGAAATACCTTCCAAGGTTGGCTGATTTAAATTGCAATTCAAATCAAATAATTTTTTAACAAATTTATTTAAATCAACATGTTTAATTTTTTTTTTGAAAAAAGGCAAAAATGTTTCAATTTTCAAATTCTGCTCAACCAATATGGTTTCTTTTTGCAGGTTTTGTGTATTTTAAACAACAAATCCCCCCTTTGTGAACCTTTCAGTTTACCGTATTGATAAAAAGTGTGAATGCACAGTCTGGATTGGCAGGATTTCTTTGCTCAGTTTAATTAATTTGTTTTGATTTAAATCACCTTTTTGGATTCAATGAATGAATTTGATGTGAAGGATTTATAATCAGGAATTAATTTCACTTCATTTAAAAAGGCCTTTTGGGAGTTAAATTTGAATAAAATCTGGTATGCTGAGTTCTTTAAATTCACGTGAACATAATAATTGGAATTCTCCATACTAAAGCCACTGTTGCTATACCTCGTGATTCGGGGCAAGCTTTTCTTAGTTACATAAGAGACGCCTTGCAACAATACACTGTTCTCAATGAATAAGAAGGGCTCAAAGGAACCAGTCCAGTCCAGAGATGGTGGTCGCTAAGCAAAAGCTTGCCCCGAATCACGAGGTATAGCAACAGTGTCTTTTGTCTGGGGAATTCAAATTGCTATGTTTATGTGCGATCAGATAACTCAGTGTGCCAGATTTTATTCAAATTTGACTCGCAAATGGCTTATTGCCTACTGCAGAGTTTGACATGATGAAATATCAGTGTGCATCAGCATTTTGTTTCAGCATGTACACATATTTTATAGAGATTATAAATGTTTGGTCATTATGCAGTGAAATAAAGCCAGTAATAACTTGATTTTTAAATCAAGCCTAAGTCTGTAAGTCATTACTCTACATGCACATGTATTAATCATAAAGGAGCTGGATCACAATCAAAACGAGACAGCTTTTTGCACACAATAGAGCAAAGTAAAATACCAGCATTTTGTACCTACATGTCGTGTACCTATACATGTAGCATAAATAATACATACGTGTAAATATACACATGGTTAATGGCATGTTTTTCACTCATTAGTTATTTGATATACATGTCTTCTCTGCAGGTACATAACATGTGTAATGTACCTGTACTGTTAGGTGCTAGATTGCATGCATTACACTGGGTTTAGACAGTATCCAAGGCGGTTTGTGAATTTAGTCGATTACTTGATTGAAATTTCCAATTTTAATTTTGTAGCAAAAGAGATAAATGAGTGAAAATTAATACACATGCAGCTACATGTAATTTGCTTGCTTTTGAAATGATAATTTAGCTACCTCGTCGCCAATTTTCATAAAATAAAAAAAGCTGATTAGGGCCCCTCCCCAAAAAAGACTCCAGTTTCTGGTCATGGGCTTGGTCCAAAAGTGGTGCGATGACCCCTTTTTTTCCCTCCTCTTTTTTTCCCTTAGAATTGATGTACATGCACATACACATATACTTTAGAGCGCATGGCCTTGTTACTATGAGAAGTGTAGATTAACAACTTTGAATTAATAAAAAGACCATAAAGTATGACGAGAGGCAATGGTTTCATTCATCTCACTCAAACAAGAGGCTTCAATTCTTGGCAAGATTGAGCTTGTTAAAATACTCCAGCACAACTATGGAAACATCATACATGTATGTGAAAAGTAAATGTTCAGCTCCTGTTTCCGGCTTTAAATGAAATTCTCATGAGGTAGCAGTATACATGTATGACATTCTTTGCACATTGTTTTCTGCTTTAGTTTTGAGGAAACAAGTTGCACGTCAAACAGCCTATGAAAAAAAAAAACCAGTTCAGCTCCAGAGTTAAAATAAAAATAGAATTCTCATGAGGTAAATGATATACATGTGCACTGTACTGTGTGAATTGTTTTCTGTTTTAGCTTATAGGAAACAAGCTGCATTTAACATATTGGGGAAAAAATCTCCTCTCACTCTAATCTCCCTGTGTTCTTGGCAAGTGACGATGCATGAGTTGTTACATGTATGGTTGTCATAACGCGATGGCCATCCTCACTGCCATGACTGCGTGCACTGCATGCGTATGTTACTACCACTGCCTTACTGACACTGAAATAGACTGGCCCCTCACGGTTTGTTGCTTAAAAGCGTTTTCAATTTGTATACTTTCGCGGGATGTAAGACCACTTTGTGGTTCACAGACATACATGTACATGTACATTGTGTGTGGGCCCTGGGCCGAATCAATTTGCTACGGCCGGAAATTACACCGACTATCTGGCAGCATCCACGGCTAGATCCCATAGAATCACGCATGATATCAAGCCACAGCCAATTGATTCGGACACATCTTTACACGAAGGATGTCATCTGATCAGAGTGCCGGACTGAAATGTGTGGAGGCCTAGGACTAAGACTGGCTCAGGAGAATGAACGCAGATAATGCCCTCTTCTGCAGCTTGGGTATTTGTCGCATCCATTCACCTGAGCTGGTCTTAAATGCATGTTTAAGTAATAGTACATGTAGTATGGTCTGCTCTTTACGTTGATGACTTTTCAATTAAACCTGGGAATCTATTTCATACCAGAAACACGATCAAGGAATATTACAATGATTTTTTTGGAATCAGAAAGTATGAGGGCCTAACATTTTGTTCTTAGCGGAACCTTTCTCTAAGCATGTTGGAGCAGTTTTTGTGTATGCTTTGATTATTGGAAGAAAGAAAGAAGACGATTCTTTACTTGGCCTAAAACCTGGAGCGCTCTGTTTGGTACTTGGGATTATGCATTCACTGTGCTTAACCTCAAGGCCATGCAGTTGCCCAAGTGAAGTGGGGTTTTAATGTTTTGTACATTGCGACTGTGAAAATGCTTATTTGGATAAGTTTGCACAAAATTGAGAAAAGTGGCTTATTTGTCAGCTTTTAATTTTTTCGTCCATGTGTTGCTGTTCTGTAAATTGGGTACTGGTAAGTAGAAGTTGATTCCATACACACTTTGTAGATTTGGAACACCGACCATAACCACACTGACCAGGAACGTTAAGAACAAATTCAGAGTGTGTAACATACCTTGCTCCTAAGTTTGCTCTGATTCCTCTGTGTGTGTATTCTCCCGGTCATTTGAAATAAGCACAGTCCAAACACCATATCTCTTTTCTGTCTGTTAAAATACAGAGTTGGCAGAAATGCAGTTCCAAGGCAGAATTGAAGGCTGCCCTCTACAGGTTTTGGCGCGACAACGTGCCACAGGCCTACACCTCCAACGAGCTGAGTGTCCCTGAAGAGGACGTGGTATGTCAAGAGAAATTACTCAAGCCCCTGGAGTGGTTCATGTGCAATGGAGATCCCCGCCTCGTCTTCCAGCAACTCAAGAAGACAGACAGCCCCCCGCAGCTGTGCGGCCGAGTCTTCAAGATGGGAGAGCCCACCTACTCCTGTCGGTGAGCATGGCCAGAAATATCTTTATTTACATGGACCTGATCCTAAACAGTTACAGTTCGTCTTCATCTTGCAAACTTTTCTGTAATTCAATAATGTATTTAGAGGTGAACCTGTCGAGCTGATGATAAAGCCAAATCTATCTCTTTGCCATACTGCTGTGCATCTTGATATGATCATCTCCATGATCTCAGTGCTATGCGTGATGTGAAGTGGCCAGATTTTGGTGTGTTGTTTCTCACAGGGATTGCGCTATGGATCCAACCTGTGTGCTGTGCATCGAGTGCTTTCAAAAGAGCAAGCACAAAGCCCACCGATACAGGGTGAGAAGATGTGAACCTTGCCCAGCGTGATGCCCCGTCCCTTGACACTCTTGCTGTAAATCTTTCTAAATCCTCCGAACCCTTCACATTCTGCTTATTGTGAATTTCGTGGGCCATCAAAATAATGATCAAATCCAATGTGAAATTATAAGGATGGGGAAGGGCAACGGAGTGGTCTGCCTTCCTGTATCCTATAAAGTCCCTCAAAACCTCCTCGTGAATTTTGAAGGTTCTGGCAGTTATTGATCCTATGTACATGCTTTAAAGTTCGCATTTTCCATAAAAGAAAATAACTACAGCAAATTGTATGAAACGACAAGGCAACCACTTCTCAGAACTACACAACGTACAAAAAAAGAGATGTATCCACACTGTACGTGGTGCTGCTGCAGATTTCCTACTTGATGTGCAAATCTGAACTCATCCAGTTCTCTTGTGTTTGATCAGATGAACACTTCTGGAGGAGGAGGCTACTGTGACTGTGGTGACATTGAGGCCTGGAAGAGTGATCCCTACTGCAGTATTCACCAACCCAACCCAGAGAAACCAGTACAGGTCAGATGTAATTCGCAACTGTGTCTCGTTGCTCTAACCTGCCCAAATCTTCCAAACTCCACAGAGTGGTCGTGTAGGATTTAGGAGGACATGGACCTCTTGAGAAAAAAAAAAACATGTGGCGCATCTCAAAGGATGCATTGTGTCAAAGTCTTGGGCTGGACTGTGTGTTGTTTATGCTCAGCCATGCATAAAATAATAGGCCTTGCTTTTACTGGAAGTCATCAGCTGAGCTTCAAGATACTGTTCTCACTGCCTCAACATATTGACAAGGTTTGGCAGAGGATTCTTGATGAATTGAGGCAGAGGTCACCCTACCAAGGGGCACATTTAAGAAATAACTGAATATTTCAGAGGATTGGGGCTTTAACAATTTTTACATTGCACAAGAGACAAATAGGAGGATTTTGCAAGAGTGAGGTTCCATCTTGAAAATAAGCCCAAGGGAGTTTGGGTCAGTCAGCCAATTCCTTGTGTATAGTCAATGTGCCACTTGAGATCTGTGGAACAACCTGTGTCTTGCACTTCCATCATAACTTACACATCTTTAAACCTTTTTGTTTTTTGCAGGACCCCTTGGAGCATCTACCTATTGACATGCAGTCCTACTCCTCTGCTCTGTTCTGCATCATTCTTCACTACTGCTGCGACATGCTGCTCCAGGAAGACCCTGAAGTACCCATGGAGGATCTTCGGCCAAAGTAAGACCTCCTCTCACTTCTCCTGGGAATACAGTTATGCCCAACCTATCTAAGAACAGCCCATTTGTCAGTTTGTAAGCAGGGACACAGTTGGAGACAACATAGACTCACTATAAAGACACAACCCATAGACATCATTCAGAGTTCAGACATGGTGGAAAGTGTGCAGATTCTCTTATGAACCAGCCTTGAGCAGGAGCATGCCCTCATTGGTTGAAATGAGCCATGTTGGTAGGGAGCATAGATGGTAGGGAGATGGTGGGGGCATTCACTCTCTGCCCCGGTCATTTCTCGGATCTTGTAGATGTGAGCTGCGGAGCAGGGATATTCATGTAGTAGTCTGCTGTTGATCATGTATGGCCCCACTCCATATCTTGAGTTGGATCTTTCTTGTTTCCTCCATGACGAGCACAGATTATACGGTAATTGCCACCTCTGTCTCTTTTTAGGATAATGGAAGACGCATACTGCACAATGCTGTTCAATGATGAAATTCACACCTATGAACAGGTTGGTAGAAATGCTTGATTTTCAGTGCTTGTTTCACCAGAGTTAATAATTTGACATGTTAATCAGATGTGAGCACAATCCAAGCATGGTGTGACAACTCTTCATTGGTCATTCAAATGACTTAGGCTGTGTTTGAATACGGGCGATTAACAATAGTACGCCTCCAAGAGTTTGCAACGCATTGACCAATCGCATTGCTTGAAATTAGTCGACCCTTTCCAAACGCGCATTGGGTCGACAAATTTCGCGCACTGTGATTGGCCAATGCATTGCAAACTCTTGGAGGCACACTATTGTGAAACACCATATTGCTTAGCTGTGGTCTGAAATTACACACGAGTCTATGGTTCTGGCTGCAACCACTTCTCATAGAGTCGTGTGTAATTTCAAGCTGTAGCTACAATGTAAGTAATATGAATACAGCCAGCCAGCAGTTAACATTTGAATTTGACATTTTCTCTGTGATCTTGACATTTTCTGTAAAGAACCAAATTGTACATGCTTGATATCTTTTGACCATCAGCCTTTCTTTGGCCAGATCCTGGCTTGTTAGTGGCCTGTTCTTGCTAGGCTGCTAGGAACATGAGTCACTTGGTGCATGTTTTTGCATTCTTAGCTGATTCTGAAGACTGCTCTCCTAATATTGTGGAACGCTATACACTTCAAAAGCTAAAATTCAAATTATTGCTTACAAATTTGAAATGTGCTCCAGACATGTTTGTCGTTAACTTTTTTCAATTATATCATGTATTTTTTTCGCAGGTGATCGAGACCTTAAAGAAGGCGGTGAATTGTACACCCAAGGAAGCTGTTGATTTTGCAACAATTGTCGACAGAGAGGTACAGAGATTAGGTTTAATTTGGGCCTGAGTTGAATAATTTCAAAATTTCCCTCAGTGCAAGGGGAAAAACCTCTATGGTCCACATGTCTAGTTCATTGCATGCAGACGTCTCTGGTGTTTGTTCAAAGTTAGTAATTATTTGTGACATCACCACCTGTGTCCCTCTAAATAGTGTTCAATTGGCAAGTATGTATCGTTCTTGTCATCTGTAAGAAAGATGTTTTTAATATAGAAAACATGGCTCTTCAGAGTCATTACATCATAGTTTCAAAGTGTATTAGGGATTTCTAATCCCAATCAGAAGACTTAAGAACTTAGTTACATGTATTTTGTTAGCATTTTTCTATAGTATTTAAGTGTATTGCAGAGGTTGCTACAGTAAGGGTTAAGGTATCCAGTTTCCAATGTTCATTGTCAAACCATAGGGGCGGAGCACAGTGCGTAATGGTTTCTACAAGGATTGTGAACGTGCTCGCAACATCATCAAACGCACCACCTCCCTGCACGACGCCAAGTCGCTGAAGGTACATGTGATGCACTCCACCGTGGTGGCACATCAGACGTACAGCCTGAAACTGCTGGGCTGGTTATCAGAAGTGTCAGCGTATGCAGGTTAGCTGGCCCCCATTCAGTGAAAAAGATGAGCACTCAATATTACAAAACACCCTTTGACGCGATGAAAAATGCAGTATGTACATCTGTCATTCAACAAACCACCACCACAGGCTGCAATTATTTTGCTATTTTTGACCCAAATTAAACTTTATTTGGCTTACACTGTTCACTACTAAATGGTTTTATTATTAGGTTTGGATGTTCTCTTTTTAAAGAGGAACACAATCTTATTTTCAATAAAAGATCACAGTACATAAATGTGAAGTTATAGAATATGAAGTTTTAAAATCAAACTATAATATTTTCATTCAAATACACTATGCATCATCAATGCTTGAACTTATGTACATGTAGACTGTGTTTTGGTGTAGTTTTTTAATTGATATTTAAGGTAATATTGAAAATCCATTGAAAACTGTGGATGCTCCTTGTCATGAAGTGCAGTATTTCAGCAACAGTTCACTGTATAACAGCACACGTATAGTTTGGCGCAGTACCACATGTGTTTCAAGTCTTCCACATGTGTGACTGGATTCAAAATCCTGCCTGGAGTGTGCTGATTTTTATATGTAACTGGGATTAACTGGCCTGTTTTAAAACCGAAGAGTGCTTTGTTTTCTTTCTGGAGAATTGTACACGCTTTTGACATTGCTGTCGGCACTTTCATGGGAGCCTTGATTTCGCGGGGGCCTTGATACAAGCCATGATCTGTGTCGTCTGTCGTCTTGCTGATTTTCAGATGGGTTACGTCAGCTTGTCTGTCAGGAGTTGATGAAGCCACTCCATGCCTCAGAGTATACCATCCTAGAACAGATAATGTTGAATGACACAAAACTCTGGAAAGGTAAGAGCCTTTTTGTTTCCATGGCTGTGCAGATCTTAGATGTGTTTACAATAGTAATAAGACTAAAAACAATAACAACACATCAAGAACAACAACAAAAACAAAAACAAAAGAACAACGAAATAAACAGCAAATAAGACAAACAGCAACAACAAAAACAAAGTATTTATACCAAGCCATACCAAGTTCAAAGCGCCTGACGTCAATAGAAAAAACATTGCGGGGACCAAAGCATGTGAAAGTCACATTCCAAAGTTCTTACAACTCAAATTCCATAATTGAAAAAATTTTTTCTACAACTTGGTACTGGCCAAGGCACAGAGTGAAAAAAATCTAGAAATGTCCAGAAATTGTGTAATGAATCTTTGTAGTATGTAACATGCACTACATTGCCTTCTCCTCCCAGCGTTGTCTGTCTGACACGTCAGCATTTTTTTAAAATTTCCTGCAGTTGCACGGATACAGTGGCATAAGCTGTTCATGAGCACTCTTCTCATGGACATGGAATACAAGAAGAAATTTGCCATCATGTTCACCAAGGTGAGGGCTGAAGTAGGATTGATTTACACAAGGAGAAAACCCAAGCCAACCCAACCCACACCTGCACTGTGCTGTGTACTTACATGTATGACCCATCCCTTACCGACTCTGCTGGTGTACATTCAAGTGGGCCCCTTCTTACCAGATCGCTTGAACTAGATGCTTTCAACACTTACAGTGCCTGTGTGGCTTTTATGAATGCACAACAGACCTTGGCACTCAATGTCAAGTCATTGCAGAGCAGTGGTTATTTTTAATGGCCTTTCCTTGAAACTGCAAAATGACACTTCCTGCTAGGCAATGCACAGGACAAATGGACTTCCATTGTGGAACACTGTAAACTGTTTGCCACAAAATTCACTTTCCACAATCTAGGCCTCCCAAAACCCCAATATGGTAGCAGTTGAATGGTGTCACATGAGAAAATAATAAGCATTGTTGTCAAAAATCAGTCGCTTCAAACTGTCTGAGCATTTTTTGGTGAATGTCTGGTGTATCTGGATTTTAATGTATTAACAAACATACCGGTAGCAATTGTGGCAGTGGTAAAAGTCTGAAGCCAGTAATAATGTCTACAGAAGAAGGACATCAATTTCTCATTAGGGAGAGGAGTAAGGCTAAAGATCTTACCGAGATCTTTGTAACTTAGGTCATTCAGAATTCTGTAACATATCTCAAAAGATGGAATTTAAGAAGGTGTGTCATTAGTAGCGAAAACCATAATAGTGGGACATGCTGTTGGTATGCTTTTGGTTTGGTATGTAATTGATCTGTGTGTTACTGCTTCTCTTACACAGCGTCTCTTTCCCCTACCAATTAGAGTGCCAAAGCTGAGACCTACATGTAGAAGCACAATAATTGTCAGGCATCATTTGTTAAAGAGAATAATGGCAAACCAAGCCCAGTTGAGATGAATGGATTCAGTTAATGGAAATACTCTTGTGTCGTGTTTGTAAATGAATTTTGTCTTGTCACATCTTTGCAGCACTATAGTCAGATACTGCACGACTTTGCTGAGGATGACCATGACCATGTTGTGTCTGTGACTTCGCTGTCGGTGCAGATATACACCGTTCCAACCGTGGTGAGAAGCCTGCTCCACGCTATTGTTCCCCTGTTACTATTTTTGGCATTTCAGTGTTCTCCGAGAGCCCACAAACAGTGTTGTAGTTGAGCCTGTCCCAAATCCCTACTACCTCCATCACTAGCCATTCAATCTTAACCAGTTCGTGCCGCGGCATTTATGAATGTTGATGATGCTTGGACGGGATAATTTTTTTTTTCTGTTTTCAAAATTCTTTAAAAATTCATATCTTCATTTACTGGACACTTACACCCACACGAAGGACTGTCTGGTGTCTACTCTAATCTGACAGACAATATCTATTGACGCTGGAGTATTTCAGCCAGGCCTGCTGCCTTGTAAAAAGAGCCCAGAGTGTGGGGTGTTATGTAATTTTCTTTTGTTCACAAACGTGGCATAGTGCGCTGCTGACTTCTTATCAATAAGGGCCAGATTAGCATGCAGCGGTGCTGTGTGGCTCATTGCTGCAGTGGTAGAGCGCTTTTGTCCCCGGTAGTAATCTGCTCGCGCTTAATGCCCCAAAACCTTGGTATACTGTTTCAAAACAAGGTTGGATTATCTCCACTATTGAGAGTGAAAAAAATGTCGGTAATTCCCAGCAGCCTGGTCTTTTGTTACGAGTACGGTCTTTTGTTGCAGGGCCCAGTTCCCTTTGTCCGATTTTGGAGACCCCGGCCACGCATATAAAGAATACGTGACCGATACTTGCAACCCCGGTGGCAAGTGGTTAATCCAAGTCACAAGCTATTCAAATGAACTGTCACAAAAGCATTCCTTGGTCATTGTTCACCTGGTTACTTACTTATGACTAGTCTTGTGAAAGGACTTGTGACTGGACACAGCAACAACATTGCCTATGAGAAATCATTGTTAGTTTGCACAAGAGGGATTCTAACCCCCAGCTTCTTGTTTAAATGTGAGCACTTCTCAAACCGCCCAGTCACTGAGCTTGCGAGGGCTGCTCGACTTTTTTCAAGTTAAAGACAATTTATGTGGTTATTTGTCTCCTGTTTACCATTTGGAATTGACAAGTAACATCTATGTTTCTGCATGCAAAAGCTTGAACTGTCCAGAACTATTGAGAAAAATTATAAGAATGAGTCCAGCCATTCTTGTAAGCTTGTGTTGAGTTAAGGGAAAGTCAAACGAAAGGGCCTGTTACATAAGAAGTTGTGCCCCTAAATGTGTGATATTTTGAGGAGCAATATTTTGAGAAAGTTTAAAGGTATTTTCTTGTATGTTTGGATGACACTCTTCCAGTCGCGGATGTTAATTGCGGAACACAATCTCTTGGCTGTCGTTCTGAAGACGTTTGTGGACTACACTCAGAAGTTCAGAGAGGGTGAGTAGGGCCTCTCCTCAGCTGAAATAAGGCAATAGATTGGAATCTGTTTGACTCTTTCAAACTTCAACCCTTATTTCAACCAACAGTGTATATAGCAGACGTATTGCTGAATGAGTCAGCCCTGCTTGATAAATACAGTAATACTGAATTTGGACATGAAATTACTGACCATGTTTGATTTTCAGTAAGCGCCTTTCTTTGTGAAAAATGAGTCTTGAGTCTCAGATAAAGTGTGTCTCTGTGTAGCTGGTCTCTCAAGTGAAAGTGTTTAAACAATACTTGCGTCTTCAACCTTAATTATCAATTTTTATGTGGACAAGAAACGTGTGTGCTTCTTTTCTTCATTTACTCTGAAAACTAAGGCATGGGGAAAGTGCTAGTCATTGGTATCTTAGAGATTGAAGTGTAACAAATGAAAGCTCACATTTTACTGGTTTTATTTGAGAAAGGAACTCATTTTTAATAAAGTTGTTGTAGCGGTTTCTGCTTTGAAAGGTTAGGTTTCTTCCTACATATACCCAAAATTAATAGCCTTTCATAATAATGCATGAACAGAAAAACTTGTTTTGCATTATTAGAAAAGTACGTTAAAATCTCTTGGACTACAATTTTGTAATGTTGACTGCTGTTCATTTCTAGGACCAGGGACTGGAAAGTTCCGATTCCAGCGGATCAATCTCAATGGACTTCGTCGCTTCCACTTTGTTCTGATTGATCTAAGGTATACAGAAAATCAAATATTATGAAAAAAAATTATTTACAATTCTCAACATTTCTTAACATTATTAGTGTAGCATTTGAATATGGTCAATTCACAAAAGTGCGCCTCCAAGAGTCTGCAACGCTTTGACCAATCACAGTGCGCGAAATCTGTCGACCCTTTCGAAACGCGCATTGGGTCGACAGATTTTGCTTACTGTGATTGGTCAACGCGTTGCAGACTCTTGGAGGCGCACTATTGTGAATCGCCCGTATTGAGTACATGAGTACATTTTATTCAAGAGACGTACATGTACATGTGTTTCTTGTATGACTGGTCACTAATTTGAACTGGAATGATACTTCTTTGTTGATGTTTGTCATTTTGATGCTCACATTAAAAGTCTCTTACAGGTAGATCAAACTCTTAATTACTGTTCATTTCTTGTTGAGTAGAGGCTTATTGCTGTCTCCCTTTTAACAAGATTCAAGATTTGCATTTCCAAATTGGTTAGTTACTTGACAGTTGAAGGGGTGTCACGATGTGAGCGGCACTGACAAATTTGAGTGGGCGTACGATGTGCCCACTTGGAGGTGGAGTTATCTCTTGGCGCGAGTGGAGATTTTCGTAGAGTCGAATGTGCCTTCTTGTAGTATGCTCGTAACAGTTGGTCACATTTGGGATTCTTTACCTAGGTACATCTTGTCCAACAAGCCTGAAGAGTGGACCCCAGCAATCCGTGACTATGTGATGGAGGGAATCACAGTGTTGTTGAATCTCCTCAGTGCCATGCATGTAAGTCGACTTTACTGGCCTTAGCTCCCCTAAGAGGCACAATACTCTCATAATGTTGTTGGCCTCCAAAGTTTTGAAAATGACGGCATTGTTCTGTGAAAGTGGAAGGGAGTTTTGTGTACATGTTAGAGTGTACATTGTCCGCTATCATCTGCCAAAACCCAAGAGACTTTCCTTTTTATCCATCTGTCCATAGTTTCTAGTGGGCTACATCATGGCCAGTCAATTTAACTGACTCATTTGATCGACCGTTTTTGTCAGTCTCCTGTATATTTCTCAGTATTTACTCAATCAAAACAGGTCTTATTCAAACAAACTGCAGTGGTCTGGATTAGATATCTGTGCTACTACTTTGCTGAAAGCCGTATCCTTTTGTAGAAACTTCAACACCGACCCAGTGCAAAATTTTGTACCACCAGTTCATCTTCAGATTGTTGGGGGAAAAACAGGCTTTTGATCGCATTTCTGTTTTTATTTTTCTTCCTGTTCTTTTCTAGGGAATGGATCAAGTGGTGAGGCAGGTTGGGAAACACATTGAAATTGAGCCGGAGTGGGAGACGGCCTTCAATCTCCAGATCAAACTCAGTCCCTGCTTGACTCTGTTTCTGGACTGGTGTGCCTTAGATGTAAGACAATTTCCTGTTCAACCAGCACAGTGTCCCCTTTCTGCCATTCTCCTGAAATATTAATGACCCACCCAACAGCAATTGACAATGTAACCATCGCTGTCACTCATTTCGAGGTGTCCAATGGAGGATTGCATAAACAAAGTGCCATACAAACCTAGCTGTCCCAGTCCTGTTCAGTATTCCAGTAATAGTTACTTACACGAAATGAAGTAGGTCATAGGTCATTTGGGGTCATTAATTTATGCATTCCAAATTGACCCACCCATCCATTCTCATGCACTCTACATGTACATGCTCAAATTCAAGTTGGTGAGACATATTTTTATCCCAAATGACCTTGTTTTGTGGAAATGTGGAATGGCTTTTGATTTCTGAAGTACTGAAGTATAGCGTCACTGTGAACCAGAAAGTATAGTGCAAACGAATGGAGTATGCGTTGGTGCACACACTGGTTTTTGCGCGAATGCCTCTTACATGTGTAAATGTGTGCTTGAGGTATTAACTCCGGTACCCTTTGGCTGTAACTTCATTCAATATCTCTTCTTTAAAACCCAAACCTATTAGATCCATCAGAATCGGTTGGAAGTTTTGCAGGATGTTGCCAGGTTTGAAGGGTTCACCCCAGACACCGTAGCTTTATAGAGAGAGCCCTTTGAATTTTAAAGCACAAGGAATAATCCGTTTTCAATGTGGAATTGTTAAGAGGAACCTGAAAGAGTTTGGGTTAAATTCTATAAATTTCTAACTGTTCCAGCAGAACCTGTGCATGGATTACCCACAGCAAGCCTTTATCAAGGCTCATTCTAGATGTAAGGTTGTTGATTTAACAAGAGTACTTTTGATCACCATTTGCATCAAGTTTTCCCTGCATATTGCTAACTGCCGTGTTGAAATTTGTGCTTTCAGCGATCCCTGCTCTTGAAGGCATACCGTGCTGCCATGACCATGCTGCGCAAAATTACCCACAACTGTTCTGAGAAGGAGGTTGAAGGTGTGTACTCCCAAGATTTTGTCCAGATTTCTAGGTCATGATACTATTCAGCAGGCAGTGAATCAGTGATTGCTCTGTCACACTCCTAAGTTAACGTTTGGAAAGCCTCATCTTGTAATGCCCACGCTCATTTTGTTGCAGTGGCTAACCACAAGACAAAGTGCCTTGTCTACAATGTGTCCATCCAGCCGGTGACTGTCCACTGCACGCTGGTCCGGTTCTTGGCAGGTAAGATTGGCTTAGGGCAGTACAGTGCCCTTTAATGACCTTGAACATGTTGACCTGTGGTGGACACTTGTGGGGTCCATGCTGAAGGAATAGGTCATAAGGTCTGGTTGCAGTATGAATTAGCTAAGTGTTGTTGAATTATTTATGAGGTCATTGTCTTGAATTATTTATGCAAATGTATGCATTGCCCACAGAAAATATCTCTAACCAGCATTTTTAAATTTCCAGTATTACTGATGTAGGAAGGATAGTAAATTAGCATATTTACACAATGGCGAGAAACTCTTGAGTTTCAAATATGCCACAAGATTTTCAATATATTAACTTATGATAAGACTAAACAATATCACTTGTTTGTCAGATTTTTGTGTTTTCGTTATCAAAGGTAGTTCCCCTTGGTAAAGAAACTATTATTTAGAGAATTAACTGTCAAGGTCTGAAAGCCTCCTACTTTGGCCAGATGTCACACATGTTTTTTGTATGGTGGGCTGTTAGATTGACTATTTGTGTTATCATTCATTATCATTCTACAGGTTTGCAACTCGGGCTCAGCAGGTACAATCTTAGCTACCTGTCCGATGGCTTGCTACCCCCGGTGAGTTTATTTGGAATTGAAAGACCAACTGAAAACCCAAAACTGGTCATAGGCTTTCGCCCGAATCAAGTTTGACCCATTCTACAAAGATTGCCTGTGCAGTGTCTTTGATGTTGCCATTTAATCAAGTTTTTCACTCTGTGAGGGTTCAGGAATTCTCCCAAATTCATGCGCGATGATGATACCTTGAAGTTGAAATCATGTGCCTTGTATTCCACTCTGATAAGGCCATGAATCGTTCAGAGCCCGTTAGGGAAAGTAGGCTTGCCAGCCCCAGGTCAGCAGTTACATGTAGCCTGATCCAATTAGGCTAAATCCTAGTCCAGCTTGACCCTTCCCTTACTGGGCATTAAACTTGTCCCCTGCTGGACACGTATTTGCAAGATGCAGTGTAAACCACAAACAGTTTTGACAGTAATGTTACAGCCCTCATTGTCAACTCAAGTGAATTGAATGAGGGTAAAATCCCCGCCTATGTCAAAGAGGGCTCTCCTCCAGAAATTCCGCCACACGTCAGAAGCTATGCTGTATTTGGAGGAGCATTATGAGCCATACCTTGCAAGATGATTTCTAATTTCTGACACCTACTTGTCTTTGTCTCCCAGTATCCACTGTCACCCTTGGAGCTGATGGAGGAACCGTTGCGGACTCAGGTCTTGATGGCTCAGGTCTATGCTGCCATGTGGAGACGTAATGGGTACTCGTTGCTAAACCAGGTCAGCCATTCGGTCGATTAGTCAGTCATTCGACCAGAATGTACAGCCAGGAGTCTTATTAACACCAGGTTTCATCAGTACCCTCCACACATCAGCCACTTAGGTTGGCGAGATTTTGCCATAAATGTTTTTTTACTCTTTGAACCCTCACCTGGTCTTTGCAGCCATGTAAGATTTGTGTATGGAATCCGTGCGTGAATGAAAGCATTTCTCTTGCTGATGCTTCGTGCTCATTGGTTCACAATGTGCACGGTGAAGGGTACGCGCAACCTTTTTTGTATGCATGCGCTTAAACCTATGGCGTCTGTGTAGGAATTTCCCATTGAAAGGTCAGTCCCGCTTCTCTGATTGCTATCGGTAAGGATGCCATTGAGCATGGGGCCCACATCAGAAAAGTTGAAAGCTTTTTTGTTGCGCTCGCTTTCCTTTGGTAGATCTACTACTATCAGAATGTGGCCTGCCAGCGAGAGATGTACGATAAAGACATCATCATGTTACAGGTAAAATTCCACCTTTGTGTAAAAAGGGAACTTTGTTTGATCTTATATTCAACAAGGGGTGCAATTTTGATAGTAGATGTGACAAATCACACCTAATATAATCTCAGTCACTTGACAGTGTTGGCCTCCTTTATGCTTTCATGTTTTGTGTTAGCAACTTGTTTTAATTTCACTTGGAACAAGAAAAACAGGGTTCGTCTTTCATTAAACTTGTGTCCTGCTTCAGTTCATGCCAACGTTGATGGCTCCAGTGACCTTTTGGAGAGTGAGAAAGAAAGAATTAATTTACCAGTACTTGTGAATTGTTTCAGTTTCACATTTGTTCTTCCCTTCAGTCTTGTGCCTGTTTGATGGACAGCAATGACTTCATGATCCGTACTCTAGACCGCTTCAATCTGGTTCGCTTCCTGAGCGTTGAATTTGAGGCCAGCTCAACCCCTGAGGTGAGACTAACTTCAGAAGTCTTTGAGAACATGAGTTTTCTTTTTCTGCATAATTTCCAAAGACGTGTTCTTCACTTTTGGTGTTTTTATGTTGCAGAGTTTTGCTTTTAAAATTTGTAGTGAGCAGTTCTTATTAAATTGTGGCTGCTAAAATGAAATGTGCCATTTGGTTGGCCCACAAAGTTCTTCAAAGTTCAGTTGATCTCAGGAAACTTTGTCTTGAAGGACTTGTACCTGAAAATGAGATGGACCAAACGTTAATGACTAACCCACTAATCCACTGCAGAGAGTTTTCAGTTTATTTGCCAAGTTTGAATTAAAATGAGGAGTGTAGCTAGATAAATTTCCAGCCCTAAAAATGGCTATTTGACCAAATGAAAGTTGTCAATTTGCCTAATCACTTCATGAAAAAATATCATTCGGAACAACTAGTCAATCAAATATTTAGTTGAGATCCAGCTAGTAATTTTATTATTATTGTATGTCTGGTAATGACACCAAGGATTCCTCATAAGCGCCCTAGGCACTGTAGCTTGCAAGCCTGAAGAAACCTGTAGAGAGGAGACAGTGAGAAGCAGTTACAGTATCAGAGGTGGGAGGAAAACCCCAAAGGAATATTCTGGGTAAAACCCATGGAATCAGGTAGGGACTGAAAACCCAATCCACATGTGGACCGGGCCAGCATTCGAACCCGGGCTGCAGAGGTGGAAGGCGAGGCAAGAACCACTGCGTCAACCTGACTCCCCATTGAATGAAATAAATCAGATAAGTTATCAATCAGAACATCCATCAAATAACCTAGTAATGATTATTGTGTTCCTATTTAAAGGACATCCAGCAGCGATCCCTTGGATTGACCATCATGGAAGAGTTCTTGCATCTACTGATTGTACTGGTCAGCGAGCGATACATCCCTGGGGTTGGCCAAGTGACCGACGCTGACCGGGTGCGGAGAGAAGTCCTGCATCAGCTGTACATCAACCCAATGTCACACAGTGAAATGGTCAAGGCCTTACCCAAAGATGTAAGTGGGAGCAAAGCCTTTCGGTCTTTCAGATCACATTAAAAGCTTTGTTACTGAAACAACTTAGAAGTCTATGTCACCGGACTGTCTTGATTATAATCTAGCCTCAGAGAGCATTAGATAAGCATGTAATTTGCTTTACCTTAGGAAAAATCACTGGAGAAAAACAAGTTCTGCCTTTTAACTCTGGGTATGATTATCGTTTTGGCATAATTTGTTTCAAAATATATTTTGCGTCGGGGAGATATTAATTTTTTCTTTACAAGTTTTTGCCCTGATACAAAGTACAGTACATCATGAAATAGTTTGCGGTAGCTGCTACTACATCTGACTCGGACCAGCCAGCTGACCCCTGCAAGCTCGGTGGTCAGGTGGTTGTGACGTCTACACTAGTAAGCAGGAGGTCGTGGGTTTGAGTTCTGCCCAAGTAAGCTTGTGAATGTTTTTCCAAGCTCTCGGACAAGCACTGAGCATACATGGTTTTTAAATATATACGTCGGTTCAGGGCAAAAAACTTGTGAAGAAGTGTGTGAAGAAGTGAAAAACGATCTTGGATGTATTGTTTGTTAATGGTTTTTGTCCTTTCTTAAAATTCCTCAGCATTGTCACGAAACTGGAGTGGAAGAAGTCATCGATTCAGTGGCCAATTTTAAGTTAGTGTCTTCATTTTTGTACCTTTATTAAGATGTTTTTATGGTGGAAGTGCTGCAGTGAAGATTGTTTAAGGAGATAACATTTTTAACCACATTCAGGTCACTGTGAGGTTTACATTGATAGCTCCGAAACTGCATACATGTTTTTTGGTTTGAAACTAAGTTGTTGGTATGGTATGTGTATTCATTAATAACCTATTATCTAACAGTCAATTACGTATGTCCAAGTTTGTAGTTTTTTTACTCTTTCCTCCTAACCATAGATTGGCAAGGATTTTCGAGAATATGCAGTGAAAGAGCAAAAGCGTCCTCAAATTGTTGTTCAAGCATGTCAAGAGTGTGGATTTTTTGCATGGGTATATACTCTTTAAAGAGTGACAAGTTTATGGATGGATACTGATTCCATTTGTAGGAAGCCAACTGGAACCAATGGCAAGGGTCTGTATGAGATCAAGCAAGAGTGTCTGGCTGAATACTCCCCATTCTTCTATCACTACTCAAGAGTTGACCAATCTAAGGTGGGTGTGCACACTAAAAAACTTCACATGAACCGTCTCTCTGTTATCCTTGGCCAATTAAAGACACATTGCAAACGAATTTCCCCCTTAGGTGAATCTGCAGTCCCGTGCTTGTCCGTGTACTTGTGTAAGATTTTTTGCATTTGCAAGTGACCGCATTTATTGGTTGTTTTCTTGCCAGTCTGAAGAGCAACAGCGCAAGAGAATGAAGCAAGAGAAACCTAAACAAGGTAATGAGTAGCAGTGAACTGTCACCCCTGGGGACCCTGGTTCAAACCCCACTTTGTCACATGTACTGATCTAGGGCTTTTATTCTCAAAAGCTAACTAAATTTCCTCCAGACGTTCTTCGCTACTGTGAAGTGCTGTTACAAGATTTACTTCAAAGAATCCAAAATAAAACTGTCATCATTTTTTTTCAAACTTTCTTCTGTTCAGCTGGTTGTCCTCCTCTGCCACCGCTTCCAAGCCCCAACTTCAAGAATCTCCCTCATCTTCTAGACAATGACGTCCTCATTTTTGTCTTGGTTACCATCGTCCGCCGGACAGTGGAGCAGATCCGTCAAATCTTTTCAGAGCACTCCATACACAGGGTGGGTGTGTTCACAAACTCTGACCTCTGCCAATTCTAGCAAGCTGTCAAAAATTGCATCATAGAATAGAGTATGGATATTTGAGCATAGTTATTCAGTAGCATGCTATCATGAAATATAGTCGGAGTTCTGCATGAGTGCTCCCTTTCCCTGAATGGCTTAAATCAAAAGAGATGTGACTCTTAAACTACATGGTCACTTTGCACCAGCTTCCCATGAAGGGATATCACTTTTTGTGCTCATTCGTATGAAAATTAATTGTCACCGTTTTACCACAAATCATTACATGCATTAAGCACCCCCGAATGGTGAAAAAAAGAATGAAAAGATGTGTCACTTGAAGGACACAATGTTGTGCACCAGTTGCCCATGGAAGCATGCTACAGGCTTGTACACACTCGGATGAAAATTAGTCGGGCGTGAGTTTTGCCAAGTTTTGCCGCATGTGCAGAAACCAACACACATGCTTAGGCCCACACTGAGTCCAAATGAGTAATGTATTTGTAAATCCTAAATATGTTTCGGCCCATGAAACATTCCTAAGACCATCTCAGGATACAACTTTATGCTGTCATTTTAGGCACGAACAGCTGATCAAATCTGACCATCTCTGCCCTCAATGCACCATTTATACTCCTGAGTGGCGAAAGGCAAGAGGGGATAGAGTGACTTGCCCGAAGGTCACAAGATGCTGCTGGATTCGAACCCCTGACCCTATGTTCAGTAGTTACAAACTGTAACTACCAGACTACGTGCCCTCCACACTGGAACGGTTTCATGTGCCATCTAATGTTCCCGAGTAGAATCCATATGTTCCAGTGCATGTACATTTCAGATCACCTATTTGTTCAGAATTCTGCTTCGCAAATAATCACACGCTCCATTTCTGCAGGCTTTGTACTTAACGGGGCTGGCTGTACTTGAAGAGAAGAGACACATGAGCATGGGAGAACATTTTAACTTCCTTGAAAAAGCTATGAAAGGTAATTTAGGGCCCCCCAAAAAAAGTTCTGAAAGAGATATAAATGTTGACATTTTGAAAATCTCAAATTTAACGCTGGCATTACCAAGCTGTTCTCTATTTGCTGCAGAGTGAAAACTATATGCAGTTTATTTTTAGCAATTTGTCATGTTTAAATCGCCTTTCCCCCACTTTCTTTTGGTCTTCAGTGCTCTGTCTTGGTCCATGAACAATTGCCACGCCCCCCTCCCTATATCCAGCAAGAAATGAGACCGAGGGGTACCCCCCAACATGTCTAATCGCTATACACACTCTAGACTATTGTTATCTAACACCCCCCCCCCGAAAAGAACTCCTCAGATTCCAGTGAAAAAATGACCAACATAAAGCAGGGGGGTTCTCTCTGTCTCATGTCTTGCTTCATATGCCCCCCCGTGCTCATCAGCAACCAGCACGGACCGCAGCTTTAACAACTACTTCTAATTGTCTAGGCGAGCCAAGTTTCCTGGATCTACTTAAGAAGCTGAAAGGAAACCCTACAGTGGAGCCCCACAAGGAGCTTCTAGCTTGGGTCTTACAGGTATGGTGCTGTGTGACTAGAGAGGGATTTACCTTACAGGTTTCATCGCAGCCAGACAAGAGCATTGTGCTCTGTTGCTTAAAAGGCAAAACATGAATGATACCAGTTTGGAGCTAGAGGTGCCTCCTCTGTTGGTTTATATTGAAAAAATGGAAGACCTCCCATTCTAATGGGAATGGTCAAGAATGACACAGAATGATTCTTCCCATTATAAAGGGGCGGGGGTGTCTTCCAGTTTAACTATTACCAACAGAGGGTGCACCTGGTGGTAAATTAAGGCAGTGAGATATGGCAGAAACAGTCTATACTATACGCCTTGACACCTGCTGGGAAGATCGCAAGTTCCAAAAGGTATTTTTTCAGTATTTTATCATTTATTTCATGGTAATTGGTGAACCGTGAGTTCTTTATGAAAAGCTATTCTCATTTTAGTCGCCTCAAATCAGGAAACTAAATGAAATGGAAATTTGCCAAACTAATAAAACATCAGTTTTTCAATCTTGTAAGAAATACCAGTTTCTTCTCATTTTTACTGATCTAGAACATCACCGAACTGCAGCTCATGAAAGGGGAGTCCTCCACCGCCTCCTTGGCACCGTCGTGCTCCGCCCCTGAGACTCAGGACGAGGAGCAGCGCAAGCAAGAGGCAGAGCGGCAGCGGAGGGCGGAGCTTGCCAAGAAAAAGAGGGCGCACGCGATGGACCAGATGAAGGCCATGCAGCGTAGCTTCATCCGACAGAACCCAGAGTTCTTTGAGCAGACAGCTGAGGGCAGCAGACACGAGAGGACAGCCTCCACCTCCAGCATGGACACAGTGTACGGCTGCTTTCAGTCTATCTCCAATGAGGCAGTTTCTAAGCAGACGTGTACTCAGAAGGTTTTAGCAGATCCTTGACATTCAAGGACAGTAGATGTCACTGATAATACACCTCACGGAGGGCAAATTTTTTTTTGGGGGGGGGAGATTTCTTTATGCAGCCTTGTTTGGAGTTTCTGAGGTGTGAGGCTACACCGTAGGGCTTTTTGCACATTTGGGCAAGAAAGGGTTATGACCCGGGCTTCTTTATTGCATTTCATTCCTTTGCAAGGTGTACAGTGTCGACTTCATTTCTTAGAAAATCCCAACTTTGAAACAACCTTTGGATCAACAGTAACAGAAGTTGAAATAGGAAATAAGTTGATTTTGCACGTTATTTTGAGACGTTTCTTTAAAAGAAAATTTAACTCATTGTGCTTGATCACATCACATTGCTCCCTTGAAATCACCTTTTCCCCTGTATATGTTGAAAACAAAAGTAAAATTTCCCTGTTTGGTGGGAGTCATGGCCCCCATTGGCCCCCTTTCCAGATGTGCCAGTGTACCTTATGTTTCTGATGCTAGGTATATTAGATTAAAGTTGTAGCCATCAATGAAGTAATTAAAATTGGGATCTGTTTTTGTAGTTTGATCAGTCATTCATGACCCAAGCATCACTTATCCTGTAGGAAACAAAAGAGGACAGCTTGTACAATGCATCCTAAAATTCTTTTTACATGTAAAATTATGAAATTGTATATCATGCTCTTCTGCCTTGTCTGCTATGGAAATTTTCACTACTTTCCTATCATGTCAATTTTTCAAATGGCAGGGACATGTACTTTCCGTCTAGTCCAGTTGAGGATACATTAGTAGCACTGGGTCCATCACACAGTTGTCCGCTGTCAGATGAGATGTCCAAGGTGACCTGTATACTGTGCATGGAGGAGTCCGAGATCAAACCAGATGGAGAGTGTCTTGTTCTGCCCATGTTTGTCCAGAGGTAGGTAGTTCCAAAGCATGGAGGTGCGATTTGTTAGTGTTGAGGAGTCTCTTGGAAGCCCTTTCATGTGGCCACTCAGAAGTAATGGGATGGAGAATGACAGGATTGCTTTTGTCAGGGTTCATTTCAGTGGCCTGTTACTTGGTTTGATATGGTTGACTTCTAATGGACTTGCAGATAACTGAGGTGGGCTCAACTGTACACTAAACTGTTAGTAGAAATTACCCTGGAGTTGCCAGAGACATTCTCCAGAAATCTGGCGTTAAAGTTCTTACTGCATGAAAATTTGGATTGAAAATTGATTTTATTCAACTCTCATCGGAGGGATCATGTAATTGTGCTGAAATAACGATATATGTTTAGATGATAGCATCTTCTCTGCAATTTGCCCAAAGTTTATAAGTAAAGCGCCACGGGCGAAAATGGGACAGGCTTGTGGGAATTTTACCAACTGGCCTCATTGCCTCGTCTGGTGCACATGCAAAAAAGTTGACATTCAAACAGAATTTGGTCGCATGTGCTCAGTAGGTCCCGTGGAAGATGCACAAAAGGATGATAATCGTTGCTTCTGCAAAAATGCCCTCTCTTGTTTCTGCTTGGAGCAGATGGTCTTGGGAAAAAAAATAAAAATTACAGACTATTCATGCGCTGTTTCTTTCATAGCCATCACACAGCACTACAGCTATTCACTGTAGTGTGAAGTTGTCATGTACCCAGGCCCCTCTTGGTTGCCCTAGAAAGGTTGTTGTATATGGGTAGATGTCAACAGTAATTAGAATCTAATGAATCTTGCATATTGCAGGTCTACGGTACTGTCCAAAGCTCGAAACAGAGATTTAGGAAATCCAGGTAAGTCTTTTGAAATTATCAGCTGTGAAGAACAGCTAGACTAATTTCCAATGCAATTATCGACTTTGTTGCCAAGGAACAGCATAAAACTTCAATGATAACTGTTACCCTGACTCGTGCTAAACAGTTTCTAAATGGAATTCCTTAGACTGAGGACTGTGTGCCCTGTCAGGAGATTGGATAGAAGCTCCATCATTGCTTGGGTAAGAGCAGGACAGTAGGACAGAATTTCACAAAGTTGCCAGATCATTCTAGAGTCGGGATGTTCCCAGCTTGGCTCCCTCTATCAAACAATTTGACCTACTCAGCTGTTTTTTTCAGAAGAACTTGACAAACTTGAGCAATCGAGTCATTTGTTACTGTTTTTTTGTTCCAGATGAGCTAGATCCACTGTTCGTGTCCTCGCAGTTGATCTGGGGAGTGCATGCCAGCACCTGTGGACACGTCATGCACGCTGACTGCTGGCAAGGGTGAATAGCTTCAACTTAATACTTAACCACACCAACCTTGGCCCTCTCACCACGAAGACCCAATGTGCAATCCAAAAAAAGCCTAAATATGCCTTCACCTTACGTGCTGGTCCCTTGACTTTGTAGCGCTGCTCATTAGCCAGTCATGTGGTAAAAAGCAGTAATGTCGTCTTTATGGCACACAGTGTCGGTAGCACAAAGTGCATGTGGAAGGCAAAAGCCTCATGCCCAGCAGTGAAAAGGGTTTAATGAACCCTCCTTCCATAAACAACCACAGAGGATGATTTTTGTATAGATGTAGTTGACTCCGAGTCACCAGTCAGTTGCAATTCAGTGCGCAAGTCAGTTACTGGGGATGAACAACAGCTGAGGACCGTCAAGTTCTGATCTTTGTCAAAGTTCACTCAAATAGCTTGCCACTTGACTGATACTGGACTACATACGATTGACCTTCATTTGACCTCTAAAGACTTGTCTTGGACTTCTATTTCTTGACAGCTACACATGGACTTTTTTCAAACTGAGAATAGCGTACTCTTTAATTTCTGATGGGGTGCATTCTATGCAAAAAGTAATGGAATCAGGCAGTCCATTTCTGTTTGGGATCATTTTTGACTGATTCATGCTTCATTATTTCATTCAAGGTATTTTGAGTCCCTGGTTCTCAGGGAGCAGCGGAGGACTTTCCGTTACCGTAACAACCTCATCTATGACCTGAGCCGACAGCAGTATCTCTGCCCGTTGTGTAAGACCATTGGCAACACTGTCATCCCTGTGCTGTCACCACTACAGTTTCTGCCGCTGGAGGAACAAAGGTGGGCCAACTTACTCTCCCTTTCCCCCTCCCTTATCCCTATACCCTGCCCCACCCCTCCCCACCCCCTTCCTACCCCTGTGTCTCCTTGTCAGTGACTATTTCCACTTAGGGAAGTAATGCTCATTTCAGTTTAGATCTGAAAAAGAAAAACATTTTTAATGACATTCACTCTAAACCTTTGCCCCTTTATGGTCATAAACAGTGACACATTGAGCAGTAGCTTCCAGAATTGGCTGGCCCTGGTGAAAGGAATGGTACACTCCGGTATTAAGCCACCTCAGCAGCCTGGATCAGATCCCTTGGATCTATCCACTTCGGCAGAGGGGTCACAGGCAGAAATGGAGGGACCTACGGGCTCAACCGAAGAAATGGAAGAGATGGGCAGTGCAGGTAACCAAATATAGATGTTGAGTTGTGTTTGTGGACCATTCCTGTAGTTGAACGTCTATCCACAAAAAAGAAGAGCGGACTTCGAAAAGTTAAGGTTTTCGCTGTCTACAACATCAAATAGAGCTTACTAAAGAAATATAACAATGAAGGCCTGTGTTAATTGTGAGCCTTGGAAAAGACAGAAAAATCAGGCAATTTTCTGGTGTTCATTAGAAACAAATCGCATCCGTAGTAATATCTTCAAGGAAAGTGGACCTGTTTCCGCTAATTTAAAAGGCCACAGATTTTGAACAGCTTTTTTCCCCTGATATTGGCAGCTTGGCTTGTTAAAATTCCCATTGTCTCTCCGCCCAGTCAACTTTAACCATAAGCCTTGACCTGATGTTCACTACTTCACTGCCCCCTCCCAGATCTGGATAAGCAAATATTCAGTGGCACAGGACTCCTGGAGACGTTAGGCGATGCAGCCTCCCAGACCTTTGAAAGGCTAGAGACGCTAGGAGATGCTGCCACACAGAAATTCCAGAAATTCTACGCCCTTCTGCAAGGCTCCAAGTAAGCCCGGAATTTTTTGTTTTTCATTGAAAAGTAAATAAATTGTGTTAATGTATTGATCGGTAAATTGGACTAAAAATCCCCTGGACTCAATAACCATTTCATCAGTGGTAGAAGTCTTGCGCTAACTTTTGTTTCGAAGGAAATGTCAAAGACAAGTTTACTTCGCATAATCCGCCTCGATGGTGCCGAAAGCAGAGTTTAGACGTAACAGCCCATTAACACCACTTTTACAAACATGGCAAAACCCCATTCACCTTGTTGACGGTTTCTTGTAATGAACAATTTAAATTCTCATTGAACTGAAATTTTAAAGTGGCCTAAGGATGTGGTATAATAGATGGTTGTTGTTTATGCACAAAGTAATGGACTTTATGTCTCCTGAAAACTGAAATCTGAAAAGGTGGAGAACCCAGATCTGTTTTTGCATCTTAAGTCTTCAGTTACAGAGTAGACTGATTCATTAAGCCCCACCCCCCCATAGTGTTGTGGCTAATCACAACCCTCATGTAAGTCTGACTTGTGGGCATGATGTGTACAGCTTGAAGATGTAGCGTGGCACTGGAGAAGACCACGTGCATTACTTTCTCATGAGTGCAGTGGTCAGGGCAGATTGGATCAATTTTGGCCTGCCTCACATCCGTAAATTTTTGGTTCCTTTTCAATAGTTTCCCCTTTTCCAAGAGTGTCCAGGAGATGATTCGTATGTTTTCCAAGACGGCATACACTGTGAGTAATGTCCATTCATCGTAAGGTATTTGCATCCTAGAGCTGCCTGCTCATGAGGGTCGGCATGTCAGTGGCTTACAGGAACAGCCTTTTAATTATATTCTGACCCACGTCATTGGAAAGTAGGGCTCCCTCGTGGTCATGTGCAGCCCTGGGTTCATAGACATGCACAAATGCCCTTGTTATCCATCAACTGTCCACATTATCAAATATCATACACACCCGTGTCTGAGAGCCGAATTCTTATTGGACAATTCACCATCACATGCTATTTTGAAGAGCATAGGGAGCCAGTCTGTTAACTTTTCAGCACCTTAGAGAGCTGACACTGACTGTCCACCCTCCAAGCAAGTTATATTTGTTAACTATGTACGTCATTATTTTCAACTCACAAGAACAACAGCATTGTACTTTTTTGATCTTGATATGTGGACGTACGTTTACAGAGATCCAATCATCCAAATATGTTCATAATATTAAAAAACATTTGTGTTTGTTGTCATTGAATTTTGTTTAGGTTGGTCTTGGTGTAATGCCTGACGATGAGAATGAAAGGGTCTCCATCATGTCCTGGAACATTTGTGCATACACAATACAGTCAACTGGTATGTATAAATGAATGACTAAACAGTCCTAACACTAATGGCCTTGACAACCTCCTGTGCATTTGTTGTAGCTAAATTAAAATTTACTAAAACAGGCTCTGAAATACCATGGAGATGCCAGCAATGCATAACTTCTGTTTGTTGCCTAGAAAGGGGGGGGAGCAAGTGTGCATTTTCTGTACAGTGACATACTAGAAAATCTATTATAGAATCTGTGTACACCACCATAGGCAAAGCCAAGTCCAACCTTTTGCTCTTGGGAGTACGTGATAGGGGGACTGCTCGTTCGTGTTTATTTGGTTCCCTCTTCATGCTGACTGAATGTCTTTATATCTTCAGAGGTGCTATTGAGAAGCAAGGCCAAGCCATTATTCGGAGAGATGACATCTAGACAGGTGAGGCAATAATAGATAGGATGAGAGGCCAACAGATCAACATCTGAACAAAGTTGGAGCAAAGATTGGTCCTTGGTCAGTGGATAATCACTGGTTGATGTGCAGTGCTCTGGCAATAAAGTGCTGTTAATTCGCGGGAAACTTCTTTTAAGGGTCCTCCTGGCAAGTATTCCTGGCTCCCCTCTGTGCGTTGCAAAGTTGTGATTTTGATAACTAGTGATGCCACCAGCCTGGGTAGCAATAGCGTAACTAGGGTGAACTTTCTAAGGGGGCCCCAGGGGTTGGGATGGGGGGCACATGAAGCAAATGAACTATGTCTTGTCTTGTACGTAGGTCATGTATGTTTCAAACTATCAAGTTGGAGGCACTGACTCCAACTGAGGGTGGGCACGTGCCCCCCCCCTCGGTGCCCCTCCCCATAGTTATGTCACTGCATTGTGGACTGTTCCTAAATAGTCATCTGGGCTAGTCCAACCATCATTGACCATTGCATGCTTGATCAGTGTTAGAGTGTGATCAATAGTACTTCTTGGTCAAGCTTGCTCCAAGACAACTGTGTCTTCAGCTGGCTTTCATGAGTAAACCTAACAGTCAATCTCCTTGTGGACTTTATTGCATCGTCGAATTTGACATGTTTGTGTGTTGTTGTCACTGTGGATACTTTTTCTTCTTCGTAGATTGAAGGATTAAGAGCCTTAGTGCGCTTTGCCACTGTCAACACGTTCTACTCCAACCAGGCCCATATCCAGAAGCATGTGATCCGACTGCTTTCAGGTAACGCTCAGAATTCAGTTCTAAACCAAATGTTACAAACCTCTTTTCTCGCCTGTTGAAGTTTTCTGTCGGGAGGGTCCTTCATGCTGCTGTTGTGACTGGTTTCCATACTTCACATTTAAATTTGTGGAATTGTTTGAATTCCTCTCCTGGGGCCAGTTTCTTCAGATGTTGCCTAGCAAAAGCATGCTGTTTTTTGGTAAGAATATCCCACCAGCTAGGATGTCACATGAATACTGATTTGTGACAGCATGTGAAGGATGGGAACTAGACTTGGGTCACATCAGCAGAGTGAAGGATCGTACCCCCTGCGTAAAATGCAATCCGACTCAAGAAGAGTCTTGTAATATCGGGTAGCAGCTTTTCTCATTTTTGCAGTGGTTCTTTGGTTAGCTGGAAATGGGCTACCTTTTCTCTCCCTGAAAAAAATTGTTTGTTTCTTTAACACCAGAGAACAGCTCAGATAAAAGGCAGTGTTAACTTCAAACATTTTGTGTATGTAAACATTCCTGTTAAATAGAACTGGAGTAGAAAAACTTACATGAATCATTTTGTCTCTGAATTCTTTTATCCACAGTATTTTCTCTGGAGCATACAAATACTGGGCCATGTCTGCTTGATATCGACGTATTTTCACTGCTGGTTAGTACATTGTAACCCCAAAACCACTGTGTGTAGTTCACATTTAAGTGCAATAGTAACAAACCAACATAAGATACAGATGGTGACAAATGGGGGCACCAGGAAAAAGCTTCCGCTTATACAAAGCCTGCTCCAGTTGTGAAGTGTAAGTAAGTCAATTTAAGACAATTATTTGAAAATGATAATCATAATTGATTTGAAACTTTTCAATAATACATTTAATAAAGCAAAGAGTTAAATAGTGCAGAGAGACTGAAGAAAACAGGAAAAACTAAGTTGCATACAAGACTTGCATGGAATGTAACTTTTGCATATGTCGAATTGATGCTATTGCTAAGTTTCATGTAATACCAGAAACGAGTAAATTTTTGAGGGTTTTTTTAATCTGTGCATTAAAATTTAAGTAATAAAACATAGTTTGTGACTTTCTTGTCAAATGTAGACAGCTGAGCTTGGCTATGATATTGAAAACAAATGTAGAACATACTGTAGTATATATCTGTGAAGTTCAAGGTTGAAGGCTGCCAGCAGAAACACATTTGTCCTGTTCGCAAGGAGATAACTGTTGGAAAGGCATTTTGTCATTTTTTCATAGATACTTGAAAGTGTTCTTTCTTATTTGTTTGAGATTGACACCGCACAAAGAATCTTAGGTTTTGCCGTGTCTTCATACACGGACATCATGAGGATTATTTTCGGAGGAGGGGGGGCGGGAACGGCAAGGCACTCGTCAACATCAAACTCATCCAATGGCCTTGCTCGGTTCTCCCATATTTTCATATGACCAGTTGTCAGCTTTCTCCTAATTAGTGTTGCACCTCTGTTACAAACTAAAGACAGCTTATGAGGTGGAAGAGACGGGATTAAAAAATGGTGACCAAGCATGTAGCCTCATATTCAAGGATCTTCATTTGTGCCCCCATACAGGTCAGTGTGTGCTTATCAGGGGCTACTGTGCAGGCAAGTGACAGGGCGACTGGATTGAAGGCTACTGTGTCCACCATGCCCACTGAGGGCCACCATGCCCTGAGAGCTGCACTGACGGCACACCTTGTACAGCTACTACTCACAGTGCAGATAGCAAGTCAAGGTAGTCTTCAACTGATGCTCAGGGGCTTATCTAGTTCATAAGGGACTGAGCGGATGGCATGCTGTACTGGTACCTGGCACCCACTGGCTAACATGCCAGCTTTGAACACTTTGGTTCCAGTAGTTACAATGCTACACCATTTATATGGATGTTATTTAAACTTCAAAGCTGTCATATCATTTAACTGTATATAGTGGGGCTTGGTGTTGAGTGTTTCACAGATTTACATTAGAATGTGTACAAACCAGCTTGTCTCCAGGTCCACTGAGGGTATTTGTGCATAGGTCAACCTACCCTCTCTCTTCAGCACTGTTGGGGGTGGTACTTGTGCACAGTATTCATAGCATACATGTAGTCCTGTATGCCTATGTATTGTGCATATATTAATGAACATATTTATATCACATGGTTGGATGCTGCAATTTCATCGGTTTAAAATGGCCACAAGGCTTGTCTCAAAGTAATCACAATACCTGAGTTCAACCACATAATGCATTTGTCTTGCATGCCTGTGGAGAAATATCCCATGTACTTGTGACTGGGAACAGCAGCTTTGTGTCAGGAAAGTCAGAAATGAATATACCACAGTGTCTAAATTTGTTTCTTGCTCTCTTAAGTTACAATTTTCTTAATCGTTTTTTTTACCTATTAGCTTGATGTAACTACTGTACCTCACTATAGTCAACAAACTAATAAACGGAAAAGCACTTTCCTGTTCCCTGGCACCCAGTTCTTGAAGTATGTGACCAGTGGGATATTTTTCCATCACTCACCCTTTGAATATTTTTAGAGGATGGTTTGGGCTTCGGCAACGGCATCATCATTCCCAGTAATGTTTTTTGTTTCTGGATTGTTCTGTGGGTAATGCAGATGAGGAGTCCTGCATGGATCAGGACGGATGCAGTAACCAACAGGCTCAGGCCATGCTGCAGGCATACATCAGGATAAGAAGATTAGCGGGGTAAGGCACAACTATGCCAGAAATTCTTACAGTATTGACTCCCGGTAGTTGGGTTCATATTCAGTGTTGCCGACATTGAAGACTCTTTGTAGGAAGTTTAGGTAGCACCTAGCAGGCCTCTGACGAGCATTGAATGTACATGTGGGGTGCCTGCCCATAACTTGTTAATTTGGGGCAAAGGATGCGCTGAATGTGCACAAACCCATCGATCCGTGAAACTTGCTATGTACAGGGAATAGGTGCTGAGAAAAAATGGGTAACCAGCCAAAGAACTGGGCAAAGGGCGTTACTTTAGGCTGGTTCCTGGCTCAGTATTGCTGAACCCGAAAATCTGCCTCTGCAGTTCCAGGTGAGCATGAGTAATCAGACAACACAGTGAATGAAAGCCATCGTAGTTTCTTCTTAATTCTTAGTATTCACATGTGACATTCCAAAATATGAGGATTGTTTTCTCAAAAGTACCTGTGGCGCTTGAGTCTGAAAAAAAGCCTATGTTAGGAAAGTGGGAAGTGAAATTCAGTGGGAAATTAAATGTGTGTTGAGAACCACTGACCTTGTTATGGTCTTTCATGTCTGCCTAAGCTGCACCAGAAGTTGTAAACATGTTCTTGGTGTAATGTGACAGCATTTATTCATGACATTGAGGTGGCTGAACACTGATTGACCCATAGTCTGACCGTCAGTTGCCCTCTCCACGTGTGAGTATTCATGATTATCCCTCTGTCTCCATTTAACAGCATTTCTGTTGATGTTCATCCCGATCCCTGGATGCTGTTGGAAGTCATCCGCTCCTCCTGCCTCCCCTTTCTGAGGTGTGCCACAATCTTCTTCCATTTCGTCACCGATGTGCCCACACCGAAAGAGCTGAAGGGTAAGCTCACTTATCTCAGGTGTGCTGTGAGCGTGAACTACTGAGGGCAGTGTGTTGTCCTTGTGTAAGAGTTAGTCTCATTGGTGTTCACTGATGACATGTGCAATTGCCTCAGGACCTCAGGCCTATTACCAATTACATTGAATCACTGAGTACAGAAATTTGCTTAACAGAAACGAGTTACCAGCTAAAGTGCCATGGAAGACGTAGGACATGAGACTGGTCCATTGCTTCGCAGCTCTGCCAAAAGCCTGAGCACCTTTAATTAGTTTAATTAATTGATTTAATTTGGGTGGTGAGTCTGACCATCTAGCTGCTGTTTGCATGCTTTGTGGTTGATTGCCTAAGATGTCTGCATCAGTATAGAAGAGGTGAAACGTTTGAAGCCCTCCCAAGCAAGTGTATGACTTTTTCCTGGCAAATTATCAGCCAACACTTAACTGCTTCAAGCCAGATGACGTGTACACATGGAGGGGTTTTCCTGTATTGTTTCATGGAGGACTTTTGAATACATTCTTGCAAGGTCCCATGCGTAAGTGATCCCTTCGGAGTTTGCACACACAAAGAGGCTCAAATTAGTCCATGGAGGTTGGTTGTGTGTGGAGCCCTCAAGCAGCCATTGGCCATGGCTGGACATTGAAGCAAAGATGACTCGAAGATGATGTCTTTCCTAGGATAAATTCATTGTGGAATAACACCATCGACAACTGGTTAATATACAATGCTAGTTGGATGATATTAGTGAAAGATAAACTAGGGACTGGAATGCATTCTTGTCTTCTTGTAGCCTCATGCCTAGATGAGTCCGAACCACTTTGTCGCTACCTCGCCATGCCATGTGACCTTTCTAGCCTGGTATCTGAGGAACAAGAACCTTTTATGCTGGACCTAATCGCAGCTTGGTGTCAACATCCAGACTTGAAGTTAAAGCTCAGTGACTCTTGTGGAGATCTTGTTCGGTAAAAGCAGAAAATTGGTCTTTTATTTCAACATTCTAAATCTTGCAGATGAAAATATAATAGTTTTCCTCATTTGTTCTCAAATTAAGTTTACATTGACATTGCAAGTATTTCTGAAGCCGCAGTTTACCCTGGCTGAATAACATTGCCCAATAGCTCAATGTATTATTGATGTATGAATGGATTGATTGATGTATTGATTGGGTTCATTAAGCTCATTCATTCATTTGATTCATTGATGTGCAGTAATTTATTGATTCATTGCTTTTTGGCTCTTTGACAGGTTCTCGATGGAAATCAACAGGCTGATAGAACTACCTGAAGATTACAGTGACCTGATGAATAACGTGTCCATGTTTACGTAAGTTACTCAGTTCAACTCAACAGTGATTCTTAATCATGAGTTCACTCTGAGTTTTCTTGTTGAGGATGGACTACTTGTCTAATGTGTTTCATCTGTCTGTTGGGGACATTCTGGCTGTCTGTGCTCTTACATGTTACTTCCCTTTTAATTTCAAAATAATGTTGAAAATATCTATTTTTTCTGAGAGTTGTCTGAAGTATATCTGTGTGCAGACCATGTGAAAGCTTCAGAAGTTGTACTAGTTGGTGTCCCATTCATTTGTGGCGCATATGTATTTCATTCCTTCACAGATTAACCCTCCTTTGGTTTTATAGCACAAATGTGCACAAATGCCCACAGTCACTGGTGAGCATGTATTTTCTATATGGAAC